CCTCACAATAATCCCTCCGCTCTGTCGGCAACATGCCGGACCCGAGCACCCGGGAGACAGCAAACTGTCCGGTTGAGTTGATCCCCTACCACCACAACCTGTCTAGACTTCTTTACCCTCTCAATCCCACCCGTACTAGAGGGGCTGTTTCCACGGCTGTTAGCAGGAACAGCTTCCTGCAGTACAGCTACTCCTGAGCTGACGCTCCCAACATCTTCACTCAAACGAGCAAATCTGTTAGGCTGCATGAGATCAGGACTAGCTAAACCTTTTCTCTTCCCTCCCCCTCTGCTTCCTCGCCCCACTGTCACCCAGCTACGTGCCTGTTCCCCATCTGTCTTATCTCCTCCCTCTCCACTACCTGTCCCCACTAAACTCTGCTCAGTGAGCAGCAGACTCCTCTCAAGATTGTCAATCTCCCTCAGTGTTACAATTTGCCTCTCCAGATCTCTAATCTGAGCTTCCAGAAATGCCACTCGCTCACACCTACCACAGAGTTATGGAACCTGGGCAGAATCATCCAGGCATGAATACATGTGGCATGATGTGCACTGAGTTAAACTCACAATCTTGCTAGCACTCATCTCCAGTTACAAAAAGCACAAGTGAGCAAAAACAATATTTACCCTCTTGGTTTAAACTCCCTTGTAGCCTCAACTCCTGTTGTTTTAACTCCTACTTAAAAGAGACTACTTTAAATAGCCTACCTTCAAGCAAACTCCGGTGAGTAAGTTCTGGGAGTCAGTAGTGGGTGTAACGGATCACCTGGCACCCGGACTGGGTACCTCCGTTGAAGGATGCTCCTAGCGCTTCCTGAAGACTCCAAGCACTGCAGCAGACACCACAACCACCGAACCGGAGAAGCATATGAATGCTCTCAAGCATATGAATGTTGTATACAGCGGAATAGGAAAAACCATGCGAATAGGTTTACACTCCTAGCAGTCAAACTCGAACAGCATACAATAAATCCTCCCCCAATAATGAGACGACACTTCACTTTGAAGAACGTTAAGCAGGAACTGACTGGACTGGCACATACAGCCTCTTTTATTCCCAATCCACAAACTTAGTACTGCCCACAGGGTTTTACAGAACAACCAATAACACACGTACATTACAGAAAGACACTCCCACACAAAATCCTCCCCTCTGCCTGTAATACAATTACCTTACACAATGGGTAATCTAATTATCACAGACAGAGAAATACAGTTTCATAAAACACAGCACAGGGACCCCAAAACATGCAATAAAAGTATATAAAATTAATTACTTGTGTTATCTGTCATTTGGTGTCTGGTTTTCCTGTGTGAAACTGTGTTTAAGATTATTTATACTCCACTAACATTAGTAAATAATATGATATTTCTTCATTGATATTTATCCATGAATATTCTATATTATTAACATAATACTAATTATATAGGATTAATATAATAATAGTAAATTATAAGTGGGTCGTATGTATATAGAATTATGTATACATTTGTCTCTGGGTTAGTTACATTCCTCCCCATTTAGACCTCATGCCTTATCACTTGTCTTGTTTACATAACGCATTCCTTAGCTCAGACTTGGATGAATAGAGTGGTAGAGAGAAATCTTGCATCTGTCTTAGCCTTGTAGTACAAAATGGAGTCACCTCTGTTCTGAGAGTGACTGGCAGTATACACTTTTAATTTCTGTCTTAACACAAAATGTCTGCCGATATAAATATACTAACACTTTAAGAAATATTGCAAGGTGTTAGAAATGGAACATATTGTTTTTTAATAACTTCTTACTTACCTTCAGTGCATATTATGTTTATGCCATTTTGTCCCAGACAAATTACAATAACAACAAGAAAAGCTACAATTTCTGGGGAAATTGTGTGAAGTGTTCTTGCCTCCACCAGTAGTCTACAACTGGAGTGGGCGGAGTAACTGTTATCATTTATATAGCACATTTAATTGCAACGTTGTTGCACAGTTACATTAAACCATACATTTATAAAAACATTAGCAGGTGTTCAAAAGGCCCTGTCTATGACATCACTTGCTGCTGCAGCCTGGCACAGGTCAGAGTATTTTGGCGGTTGCCATCTTCAAACGGTCGTATTTTAAAAACTATAAATCCTACAGCGAAGAGCTTTATATTGTGAGAATCACAAGACCAAGAACTACATTTATGATGCATAGTATGTCTCTGAAATATTAAAGATGAAGGCACAGTCGCAGTTTAGAAATTGCCCTTCAAATTTGAGCTGGCTAGAGTGGAGTTTCAATGAATGTCAATGGACAGCGTGAGTTGCAAACAAATGGTCATATTGTGAAAACTATCAGGACTATGGCTTAGCCGTGCACTTTTAGTGGCAACAGGGATAGCTGAACGTTTTGATATAAGATTTGTGTAGGTGGGTTTGAAAATGAGGGAGTGGTGGCAGTTTAGAAATCATGTCCTGATTTTTCAGCTTTTGCCAGCTCCCACTCTAGTTTTGAACATTTTGCCATTCATTCCTATGGGACCAATTTCGCCACAAGAACGACGATATTCCGTGAACCATTCGGTGAAACGTTCCACAAAGTAATAGCAATCCAATCGGAAACAATCCGCACGTTTCGGTATATTTCTGTCTATGTAGTGTAAATTTGGCTATAATAAGAATATTATATATGTGAGAAAACATTGAGTGGTCTTGCTATGCAAGAACACTTAATAATAATAATAATAATAATAATAATAATAATAATAATAAATGTGAGATAACATTAAGTGGTCTTGATATGCAAGACCACTTAATAATGCATAAAGAAGCTTCAAGGCTATGCTACGACTCTTTCAATACATAATATACTGTGGTAACCCTAAGTAGATAAGGATGTTCAGACTTTAAGATGCCATCTTGGCCTAAGTCAGGAACATTTCCATGACATGTACACCCTTTAGTTATGGCCTTGTATTTATGCCAAGTTAAGGGAGGTCCTAAAATGAATAAAAGTAACAGAAGTTACTTTTTCATATATGAACTACGGTGACCCTAAAATGAAGACACCTATGGTATAAATAGGTGTACTTTTAAATGTTAAGACACACACAGAGGAGAGATTTGGAGAGAGATGCTTTGTGACAGAACGCCGGCAATCTGACCAAGTACCTCCGCCAATCGATGCTCCTAGTGCTTGCGGAGGAATCCAATCACTCCACCAGACACCATAAGTACTGCAGACCCCACTTCCAGTGATGCAGCTGCACCTGGGTCTCACTGTCCTCCACCCACCCTGGACCTAAGACCAGGATCCAGCTTCCAGATGGTAGACTTCTCCTATTCCAGAGAGCGTAGCAAGAACAAGCTCTTAAAAGAGCTTAGTGATTATTGCAAGGGAGTATAAAGAGCATAGCAATCCCTTGTAGCAGATTCCCCCAATAAGAGACAGGACTCTGAGGGTGAAGTAGAACTGAGGTTTAATGACACATACTCTGCTTTTATGAAATTCTCCCATGCAAGGGAGACACCCACAGACAGAGGCGTAGCGTGGGGGGTGCAGGGGGGGCCGGCCGCACCGGGCGCAACATCTGGGGGGGCGCGCTCGCACTCGCAGCTCTCTGCCCCTGCCTGGCTCACTCACTCTCTCTGCAGTGCTGGTTGTGCGAATCCGATCCGAGCCGCCGGGTCACCGCCCACTGTGGAGTGGGGGGGAGGGGAGCCAGGCGTGTGGTGCAGTGCGAAGAGAGAGCGAGGGACTATCTGGGGGAGGGACAGTGCAGCGGCCGCTGAGCGCGGGAGAGAACCACACCAGACCAGCCCAGGCAGCAGCAAGAAGAAGCTGGCAGCGGTGACAGACGCTGCAGGAGGAAAACCTAGGAGGACCTGGAGGAGAAAACCTAGCCTGCTGACTGCTGTGATCGGGTCCGGGACAGCCGGTGAAAAAAAAGGTAGGAGTCAGGAGGATTGACTGGAGTAGTACTGGGCTCAGTGGGCTGGCTGTGTAGTGCTAGCAGAGGCAGAGCATCTCCCAAACTGAAGTTTCTTTGGGATGTTCCCGGTCTGCAGGTCAAGACTGGCATGTTGAGCTGACCAGATGGATTGAAGTTTGGTTGGTTCAACAGTGACGAGACAGATTTCGATCCATATGTAGCTGCTCCAACTCAACATAAGTTGATGTAAGCCAGTGGGTCTAGGCGCAACCTTTAATTTTTTTTTGCTGAAAGAGTAAGGCAATAGGCATGAAGGTGAATAAACATTATGTTAAGAGTAAAGAAATGGTTATACAATGAAGGGGTGCTAAAAGTGCAGCAAGGCAAGAAAGTGCAGCAAGGCAGATTCTTTTTTTTTTCTTTTTTTAGAATTTTAGCAGAATACTACTATGTCATGCCATACAAAAAAAGAATCTGGTGCACAAGGCAGGAAAAGGAGAAAGATAGAGACAGAGCAACAAGCTAAGTTAGCTGGAAGCCTTCACCGGTTTTTGGTGAGTACTGCTGAAATTACAGCAGGACCATCATCAGCAGCACCACAGGAGACTCGTAATCCTGATCCTGTGTCGGTAGACTTTCCTGTTCCTGCATTAGAAGCAGAGACAGTTTCATCTAAGGATGTTTATACTCAGCCAAATCTGCCAGAAAATATTGACCAAAAAGTTTATACTGATATTGGCTATTGGCCTGAAACCATGGATGAAACCTTGAAAACTGAACTTGTCAGGCGAGGGACAGAGGAACTGCAGAATAAGGATGCGTGGTTTCCAAGAGACAGTAATGGCAGGTCATTTTCCAAGGATTGATTCTACATACATTTGGACAATGGTGAGACTATGTTAAGAACATGGTTGGTGTTTTCTCCTGTAAACAATGCTGCATATTGCTTTCCTTGCATGCTTTTTCAGAAGGCTAAAGGGAAAAGTTCATTTGGAAAGTCAAGTGGATTTAATGCATGGAGAAAGTTAAGCCCTAGATTACTAGAGCATGAGTGCAGTTCATATCACTTGAGTGCATTTACAATATGGAAAGAATTAGAAATGCGGCTGCATAAACAGGAGACTATTGATGCTCCTGCCCAGCTTGCACAACAGATGTCATTTGAAAAATGGAAGGCAATCTTAGTCAGAATACTTGATTGTATTCTGTATCTAGCCAGGCAAACCTTACCCTTACGTGGTCACTCTGAAGATTTAAATACAGATGGTAACTGTGGAAATTTCTTAGAAACTTTCAAGTTACTCACCAAATATGACCCAGTTGCCAAACAACATCTTCACAGAGTACAACGCACGGATGGTTACATTGTGTCCTATCTCTCTCCACAGAGCCAGAATGAGTTTATTAACCTGCTCGGCGATCACATTCGAACAGTCATCTTTCAAAATATCATAAAGGCCAAGTATTTTGCTATAATGTTTGATAGCACTCCTGATATTTCACACACTGACCAAATGTCCCAAGTGATTCGATATGTGCATATTGAAGATTCAGGAGTCCATGTGACAGAGTCTTTCATTGACTTTATTTAGTTATATGGGAAATAAGCTGATGTCATTACAAAACAAATTTGTGACAAGTTGCAAGCTGATGGCCTTAAACTAGAGCATTGCTACGGCCAGGGATACGAAAATGCTGCGACTATGGCTGGACACATTAGTGGTGTACAAAAACTTATTTTGGATATGAATCCCAAAGCAATGTTTGTGCCATGTAACAATCACTCGCTCAATCTTGCTGGGATGCATGCAGTTGGTGTTGGGACAAAGTCTGTTACTTTCTTTGGCACTGTGGAAAAGGTGTATTCATTTTTCTCAAGCTCCACCCACAGGTGGGATATCCTTAAGAAACATGTACCAATTCGTGTAAAGCGATCGTGTAACACAAGATGGAGTTCAACGCATGAAGCTGTATGCGTACTTGCTGAACACACTGAGAAAATAATAGACGCTTTGGAAGTGTTGAGAGATGGGCCGGAAGAAACCTCTGAAACCAGGGGTGATGCAGGAAGTCTTTTAGTTTGCATAATGACATATGTTTTTTTTCTCTTTCTTGCATTTTTGGAACCCAGTACTAACCGAAGTAAATGATACTCAGATCTACCTGCAGCAAGAAGGACTTGCGCTTGATCAATGCGTGCAAAAGTTAAAAGCATTGACTTTATTTTGTCATGAAAAACGTGATAGTCTAGTGTCAAAGGCAACTGAGAAATCTTTGCAGGTATGCAAAACCTATTGCATACCTACAGAGAGAAGAGTTGGAAGACGCAAGAAGATGGATGGTGAGAACAGTTGCGATGCTGGCTTGACCTTAATACAGGAAACAAGCAGAGAACAACTGGAAGCAATTGATCAGCTTCAGGCAGAAATTAAAAAACGTACTACACAGATGAATACGCTGCACCAGCGATTTGCTTTTTTGCAAATTCAAACATTGTTGGATACTAAAAAAGATGATTTTATTAAGAAACAAATTCAGCACACGTGTGCTCAGTACACGGAATTGAATGCTGCATCTATGCTCACCGAAATAACTCGACTTCGGCACCACATTATCTTGTATAAGGAGGTCAATCCTGATGAGCAGGTTGCAAACTGGTCAGCTTTAGATTTGCTTTGCTGGGTGTATAAGTGGAAGCTGCAAGAAAGTTTAACTAACTTTGTTGTCACATTAAGAATCTTTCTTACTATCACTGTTTCTACAGCGAGTTGTGAAAGAAGTTTCTCAAAACTTAAACTAATTAAAACATATCAGAGATCTACAATGAGCCAAGAAAGACTGAGTAATCTAGCAATACTGTCAATTGAGAGAGACTTTAATGTAGATTTCAATTCCGTTGTTGAAAAATGTGCGCTAATTAAAAGCAGGCAAATTTAAATTAATCTGTATATTATATACAGATTGATATCTTGCACTTCTATTAAAGAATTACAATTAGAGGTACAGGATTGAGGAAGTTGGCTCCATCTAGCCCAGTCTTGGATCATCTCCAGGGTATGGTTCCATTTTGATGTTTATTTTTTGTTCTTGATATTTTTTGTCATTTACGATGGTTGCGAGACGACATATAATAGCATGGCCCATGCTAGGTTACTACATTTGTATATTTGTATTCATAGACCTGCTGAAAATGTGAAGAATGTGTGTAATGCATGTTCGCACTCAATAAAGTGTTGGAAAATAAACTTGTATTTAGATGCATTTTACTTTAATTACATAAGTATTTTCATAACAAACATACATACATGTGCTTGGGGGGTAAGGGTTTCTTTAACTAATCTAGTGGAAGAGACTCGAGTGCTAAAATCCACGGGTTAGGGGGCGCAAATTACTTGCCTTGCCCCAGGTGCTGACAACCCATGCTACGCCACTGCCCACAGACAATTAGGAATTATCCAATCATCAACTGGTTACATCCCACACATCCCCTCCCCTTAGCCTGAGAGATAACATAATTAAGTGTACAGTTTAAACACACATTTTTACCTAATTTCTATATCTTTAAAAATATACATCACATTCACATAAAACTATCATTTTCTGAATCAGCATACATAGGGAACAAACATACCCAAAAATCATTCAAATCCGTTCAGCTGTTCGGGAGTTGGCTCGAAGTCATATCTTGACCGACCACACGCACATTTTCATGCCCAAAACAGTTCCAGAGAATCAGGCTGTGCGGCCGGTCTAGTTCCCATGTTAAATTCAGTTCAAATAGGCAAACGGCAACCGTTCGAATTGTTGAACAGCGTTCATATTGTCGAATGGGTTGAAGTCTGGAAAAGTTAAAACTTCATTGTTGTTGTTGCCGTCGAGTATCTGATTTTAGTTCCATGAACTCGATGGAAAAACACAGCTGACCGCGTTCGCTGAATGAAAATGGCCGCCGCCCACACTTATCCCGAAACTGGGGAAAGACACTGAACTTGCAGCAAACTATGGGCCCATCTCCCTGATCAACTCAGACCTTAAGATCTATGTGAAAATCATGGCTGCCAGGTTGGCACCGCTCCTCACACGCCTAATCCATCCAGACCAGGTGGGGTTCATACCCGACAGACAGCTATACGAAAACACGTGCAGGGGGTGGTGCTGGCGTGGTACATACAGTCCGAAATGCCTTCTCTGGCCCGTTCCCTGGACGTGGAGAAGGCCTTCGACAGGGTGCAATGGCCGTATCTTTTTAGTCTACTCAAAGCTTGGGGCTTCCCTGAGACTTATGTCATGGTGACATGCGCCCTTTACACCAACCTGAGAGCCCAAACCTTAATAGCAGGAGCCCCAAGAACCCCCTTCCCACTATATAACGGAACACGACAGGGATGCCCACTGTCCCCGCTGCTATTCGCCCTCTCCTTGGAACTGCTGCTCCAAGCCATACGACAACACCCACACATACAGGGCATTCGTGTGGCAGGGAAGTCCTTTAATGTGTCGGCTTACGCAGTAGCAGTGCTACTGACCCTCTCAGATCCCCTGACCTCTATGGAGCACTTAAAAGGGTCTATTGGATACTTACGGATCCTGGACAGGCTACAAAGTGAATCTCACAAAATCTATGGCATTGCCATTCCACCTCTCAGCCCCGGACACGGCACTAATCCATGTCAGATGCCTTCTCCCCACCACTGCAGATAACATTCCTTACCTTGGGATCAAACTCACGGCACGGCACACACACCTTCACAAGAAACTACACATTAGGGACCTGGAACAATGGACAGATCGTGGCTTGGTAGACTCCACTCAGTCAAAATGAACATTCTCCCTAGACTACTATTCATGTTCCAGGCACTACCCACCCCAGTGAAGCAAAGTGACCTAGCAATGCTCCAAAAAGCCATAGACACATTCATCTGGCAAAAGAAACGCCCTAGGATTGACAGAAAATTACTGTACTCACCCAAGGACAGAGTGGGGTTTGGGTTACCTAATTTATATCTGTACTATCTAGCAGCGCAAATATCTTACTGGCATTTCCCCCCAGATACCTGACGAATGGGGCAGGACCTGCCACAGTTTTATATGTGGCTACCTACAGAGCACTCTCAAAGACTGCATGCCCAGCAATAATAAATTCCCTAAGAATATGGGATCAGATAGCGACTAAATACTCCCTAAGCCGGTTTCCCTCCCCAATGTCCCCCGTGCTTAGGAACCGTTTCTTCCCACCAGGGATGAGAGCAAGAGACTTTGGGGGCCTGGAGTGAGCAGAGATACCTCCACCTATATGACAAAAAACAAATAGTCACATATGAAAGACTCAGAGAACTCTCCCCTCTGACCACCAAATACTTCTTCCGCTATCTACAGATACGCGATTTCACTAGCTCCAAAGAAGTCAAAGAGACAGCTGCAATCCCTTTTACCTGCTGTTAGGGACCAGGAACCAGACAGAGACCGAACTAGATGCAAAACCACCTTTATTAATAAATAGAAAATAAAGTAATAACCAAAAGCAAAGTCCAGGAGGCAAGCAGGGGTCAGGCACCAAAGCGGGTAGTCAGACGAGCCAGGATCAGGAGAACAGAGAGCAGCGAAGTCAGGAACAAGGCCAGAGTCAGGAACCAGGAACAAACAGGAGAGCAGCGAAGTCCGGAACAAGGCCAGAGTCAGAAACCAGGAACCAGGAACAAACAGGAACTCACAGGAACAAGGAGACTTCCAGGGAACAGGAAACCACGCAAGGGCAAGGAGGTACTGGGATTTGCTGCTTAAATAGGCTGCCTGATTAACAGCAGAGCTGGTTACTACTATCAGGTGACTAACCGTGGCAACATACTGAAGGAACTGATCGTTAATCTCAGCTGAAAACTCAGACACAAAAAAAGGAAGGGTTGCTGTTTAAAACAGCAAAGAAACCCTGAAAGTTCTTCCCCTCAACGACTCGCCCCATATCTGCTGGTGGGTTCAGGCTTCATGGGGAAGCGAGCGTTATAGGAACGAAGGAGGGATGGTGCATGGACATCAGAGGCTGGAGCGTTTCTCTGGACCATACCTTTCCCAGTGCACCAAGTATTGGATCTGTCCTCTGAACACTCGTGAGTCAATGATGCTGTGTATTTCATATTCATCATGATTATCAACCAGAACAGGATGTGGACGTGGCACTGAGGTGGTGTAACGATTACATACCAAGGGTTTCAAGAGGGAAACATGGAATACATTTGAGATGCGCATGTTAGCAGGGAGGTCAAGTGCATAAGCTACAGGTGTAACGGACCATTTTGCACAGAGGTTAAAAAATGTTTAGGTGATATTCCCCTTTTCAGATGCACAGGCAGCTACTGCACTCACCAATCTCCCGAACTGCAACCTCACGAATGTTGTAAAAAGTCAAACAGTTTACACACCTGGCAGTCGCACATACAATCCAATTCCCCCCCCAAGAACGAGACGACACTCTGTTTGAGGGTCAAGCAGAACTGATTTACTAGGGCTACCTGCCCGGCTTTTATGCAGGTCTCCCACCTGGTGGACACTCCCCTAGGGGACAAGATGGAAGACTGGGAAACATATTGGACATTGACCAATCACAAGCTTACAATCCAACAATGCATCACAATCCCTCCTCTCTATCCTGGAGATAATTGGGAAGTAATCCAATTATCTCCAAGGACAGAGGCAAAACTCAATTAACCACATGGCAGACAAAGGACAATAAAAGACCTAAAAATACATACTGTTACATTTATCACATAGAACATACACATTCTACCTATCCCCAGATAGCTTAGATCTGAGCGCACATTATTACCGGATAGCGCTCAGATGACATACATACAGTTCAATCGCCATGGAGCCAAAGTCTTTCATACAGTCTTTCAGTATACGGCTGGGCTCCATGGCATAGCTATCCGGGGTAGCATGGTTTAAACAGTAAAGTACCGAATGGACCGGTGTTCGGATAATTGACTGCAGGTAGGAGAAGGGAGGTCGGCAGCTCAGCGGTGTTCGTGACTTTAACAGTCCGCAGAAAAGCACGAACCAGCCTTTCTGCAGGGAAAAAGAACAGTGTTAAACATGGGACCATAGTCCAGTGGCAGGAGGTGGACGACCAGGCTCGATTTTGAGGGGACACGAAGCAGTAGGTTGTGGGAAGACAGCCAGACCCTTTCTCCGACCTGATAGGTAGGCGCAGGAAGGCATCTGCGGTCGGCCTGGAGTTTGTAGTTCTGCATTGCGCATTGCAAAGTTCTGAACCTGCACCCAAGTGGAACGGAGTTCCCTGAGATGTTCCTCCAATGCCGGTATCCCCTGTGGCATGAACGTATCAGGCAACATGGACAGTTGAAACGCCAAGAATGGGGATAGCCGGGAAAAGGCACTATTGTGGGCAAACTCCACCCAGGGTAGCAGATCAGACCAGTTGTTCTGGTGGTCAGAAATGTAGCAACGCAGGAACTGTTCCAAGGCTTGGTTAGCTCGTTCCGCTGCACCATTGGATTGCGGGTGGTAGGCTAAGGAGAAGGAAAGCTGAATTCCCATTTGTGTACGTAGCGGAGATGCAATATTAAATTCCACGATCTCCGCTGGTACAGAAGGTAATCCAAAGTAAAGCGCTGAAAAATAAGGCAATATCCCAAATCCCCCCAGTAACCGGACGAAACACAGTTCTGGGAGTCAACTGAGCTTTTACTCCTAAGTCACAGTATTTATGCAAGTCCCCATGCAAGGGGTTTCCCTACTGACATTGCAGGGGTTATACAGTAGGGCACTACATGGGGGACTTAACAATCTGGACATTTCTCCCATCAGGCACTGCTGGACGAGAGGGATACTCCCACTGGAATATACTGTTAAGTGGATTATCCCTCCGTGCAGCAGAACCAACATTTCACATTAAAATAGATAACTTTCCATCATTCACGTTATTTAAACGAATTGATGTTCGGTAGATAGCTGGGGTCTGAGCACACATTTTGTGACAATACCGCTCAGATCCCAGCATAAATAACCGAACGCCGCACGAAATGCACTTTAACATTATGTTCGCCTGAAAGTACCGAACACCGATGGGGAACCATAATAGTGAAAGACCGGAGCTCCCGAACGGCCTGGAAGCCCAACGGTGTAAGCGCGCGCCGTCGAGTAGCTGATTTCTGTTCCACGCGCTCGACGACCAAACACCGCTGGGGAAACAAAGGATCCAAGATGGCCGCCCGCTGCGTGGTCGGGTAGCCGAACGACGGCCACCTAGGAACGCAATTACCTACCGATTGCAACAATGATGCAATCGGTTAATGGGTGCAACACGACCCTCGGTGTGTGGGCTCCTGGGGGGTATCTCATTCGTTTCACGAACAGCCGGTAAAGTCCCTGTTCGTGAAACGAACCCATGAATGCTAGCGGCTTTCGGCTGCTAGCATACGAATGCTCCAGGACATAGCAGTACATACATATATTAAAATATAACAGTCCAGCGGCTTATACAGACAACCTTCGCAGATACAGTCATGTAACCTAAAAGTGGCTAAGTTTGCCACAATGCTCCCCCAGAACCAAGCCGGCACACACAGTCACAGTCTGATCCCAACGGATTGGCTTGGGGATGTCTGGAGGAGTACCCACAGATCACTTTTCAAGTTCAGTTTGTCTACATAACCCGTCGGTGTTACCGTTTTGTTTCCCTGGGCGGTAATGAATGGTAAAGTCAAAAGGCTGCAGCGCCAAGCTCCAGCGCAGCAGCCTGGCATTGTCTCCAGCCACACAGTTCAGCCACACCAACGAGTTGTGATCTGTGAGCAAGGAAAAAGGGGTGTTCTCCGCCATCTGCTCCAACTTGGCTCAGCACTGCTCCCAAACCAAACATTGAAGCGTCTGTGTGGACAAGAACTCGTTTAGTTGGATCAGGTGTAGAAGTACAGGTGCATTTAGTTAGAGCCGTCTTGAGTTGGTTAAATGCCTGATCACACTCTGGGGCCCAGATGACCTGTCGAGGAAGGTTTTTGCGGGTCAAGTCAGTCAGGGGTTTGGCCAGGGCACTATAATTGGGTACAAACTTCCGGTAGTACCCTGTCGTACCCAGGAAAGCCAGCACTTGGGTTTTTGTCTGAGGGGTAGGCCACTTAGCTACTGCTTCGATCTTTGCGGGTTTGGGCTTTTGCTGCCCGCTCCCTACCCAGTGCTCCAAGTACTGCACCTCTGCCATCCCTATATGACACTTGCTGGGCTTCAGCGTCAACCCTGCCTCTCTGATACGGTCAATAACTGCTCCAATGTGTTGCAGATGCTCTGCCCATGTCTGGCTGTATATGGCGATATCATCCAGGTATGCACACGCATGTTCCTGGAACCTGTTCAGTAGCCGATCTACCATCCGTTGAAAAGTAGCCGGAGCGTTTTTTATCCCGAATGGCATGACTCGAAATTGGTACAGGCCAAACGGGGTGACAAACGCTGACTTGGGGATGGCATCCTCAGCTAATGGAATTTGCCAGTACCCTTTGCACAAATCTATGGTAGTGAGGTACTGGCCTCGGGCCATCTTGTCCAGCAGCTTGTCTATCCGGGGCATCGGGTAGGCATCAGACACGGTTTTGTCATTTAGCCTCTGGTAGTCTACACAAAAGCGTGTCGTGCCATCCTTCTTGGGTACCAGCAAAACCGGCGATGCCCAGGGGCTATCAGAATGTTCAATAACCCCTTGCTGCAACATCTCCTTGATCTCTTTCCTCATATGTTCCCTGACTGCTTCAGAGATACGATATGGGGTCTGCCGCATAGGTAGCTGTCCGGGGGTCTCGACTCGGTGAGTGGCTAGTGGAGTGTACCCAGGTAAACTGGAGAAGGTGGCTCCCTTAGCCGTGATCAACTCTTGTACCAGAGCCCGCTCCTGGGGGCTTAGCCGCTCTCCCAGCTGAACACCCGTGGAGGGCTCTGCCTGGTCGTCCTGCTCTAAGAGGTAAGGTAGCGGCAGGCTCTCCTGATCCTCAGCGGCTGAGGCGCATATCGCCGCCATGTCCTCTATCCTCTCATGGTAGGGTTTGAGCATATTCACGTGGAGCATGCGTCTCTTCCCTGTCCCTGAGCATGGGCCAATCACATAGGTGGTGTCACATCTCTGTTCCAGATGGCCTGCAGCTTGTCCGTGCGGACAGTTTTTAAAATCAAAACTTTCTGTCCCACTTGAAAGCTGCGGTCCCTGGCTTCCCTATCATACCAGCGGCGCTGGCGTTGTTGGGCCGCCTGGAGGTTGGTCCATATGGTCTGGATTAATGCCTCCAAGCGATCCCTGAACTCGAGCATGTATGGTACAATGGGTGTCCCATCTGTCCTACTCTCCCCCTCCCAGTGCTCTCTAAGTCTAAAGGCCCTCACAGCCTTCTCCCAAACAGCAATTCAAATGGGGAAAAGCTCGTCGACTCTTGGGGTACCTCTCTATATGCGAATTGCAGATGGGGTAGGAATCGCTCCCAGTCTTTATGAGCCTCTCCAAAGGTACGGCGCATCTGCTTTAGGGTACCATTAAATCTTTCGCATAACCCATTGGACTGGGGGTGGTACGTGGAATTCACTATAGGCTTAATGCCACATATTTTCCATAGTTGTTGGGTGACTTCAGCAGTGAACTGGGTACCCCTATCTGATCTGATCTCCTGGGGAAACCCCACCCGGGAGAATATTTTCATTATGGCCTTGGCCACAGTCTCAGCGTGAATATTGTAGAGAGCCACTGCCTCGGGGGACCGGGTGGCGTAGTCTACTGCGGTTAAAATATATTAAAAAGTTCCTGTCTATACTGTTGGGGAATATTGCAATCGTTTAATGGGTGCCACACGACCCTCGGTGTGTGGGCTCCTGGGTGGTATCTCATTCGTTTCACGAACAGCCGGTAAAGTCCCTGTCGTGAATTGAACCCATGAATGCTAGCGGCTTTTGGCTGCTAGCATACGAATGCTCCAGGACATAGCAGTACATACATATATTAAAATGTAACAGTCCAGCGGCTTATACAGACAACCTTTGCAGATACAGTCATGTAACCTAAAAGTGGCTAGGTTTGCCACAGTGTACAAAAAGCTCTCCAAAATCTGGACACAAACTGGCAACCCCTATCTGAGATTATTACTTTGGGTAGCCCATGCAAACGAAAGACATCCTGAGCAAAAATTGTTGCAAGTTCTTGAGAAGTTGGTAGTTTTTTCAAGGGAATGCAAAGCGACATTATTATTATTATTATGATATTTATAGAGCGCCGTCAAATTCCGCAGCGCTTTACAATGGGTGGACGAACAGACATGTAGTTGTAACCAGACAAGTTGGACACACAGGAACAGAGGGGTTGATGGCCCTGCTCAATGAGCTTACATGCTAGAGGGAGTGGGGTAAAATAACACAAAAAGGTAAGGATAGTATTAGACTAGTGACAGTTGCAGAAGAGGAATCAGTCTGGAGCTATTAACAGTTTAATTGATACACTTATGAAGAAGTGGTTTTTTTAACGATTTTTTTTTAAGGAGTGGAGACTGGGTGAGCATCTAACGGAAGAGGGAAGCGAGTTCCAAAGGAATGGTACAGCTCTCGAGAAATCTTGAAGGCGAGCATCAGAGGTGGGAGTGCGGAAGATAGACGTAAGTCTTCAGCAGATCGTAAGGGCCTAGACAGGACATACTTGTGTATAAGGGAGGACAGATAGGTGGGAGCAGCATTATGTAGAGATTTGAAAGCAAGAACCAGAATTTTAAATTGAGCTCTATATTTTATAGGAAGCCAATGCAGGGACTGACAGAAGGGTGAGGCATGGGAGGTGCGTGTGGACAGGAAGATGAGCCTCGCCGACGCATTCATTATGGACTGTAAATGCGTCGGATTACAGTAGTCAAGGCGAGAAAGGACAGTGGAATGGACCAACACCTTAGTCACATCTGGCGTTAAGTAGGGGCGGATGCACGCAATGTTTTTGAGATGGAAATTACAGGATTTGGCGATAGATTGAACATGAGGCTTGACGGAGAGGTCGGAGTCAAAGAGAACGCCTAGGCAGCATGGTGGAGCTGATGGTAGCACCGTTGACTTGGAGGGAGACAGACACAGGAGTAACAACACTTGAGGGAGGAAAGACCAGAATTTCAGTTTTGGTCAAGTTTAGTTTAAGCAAGTGGGCAGCCATCCAGTTAGAAATAGCAGAGAGACAGTCAGAGACACTAGTCAAGAGGGACAGGGAGAGATCAGGAGAGGACAGGTAGATTTGCGTGTCATCTGCATAGAAATGATATTGGAAGCCAAAGGAGCTAATGAGTTTACCAAGGGGGCAGTATAGATGGAGAACAGTAGGGGACCAAGGACATCTTAGAGAATCGGTCAACAACCATGAGAACGACTGTATTGCCATGGGAGACCGGAAGATCTACGATAAAATCCATGGACAAGTGAGTCCAGGGTCGTTCACCATTAGGTATGGTTTGCAGGAGACCCACTGGAGGGTGTCGTGGGGTTTTATTTTGAGCGCATACAGGACAGGCAGCTACAAAAGTTGTGATATCAGAACGGAGACTAGGCCACCAAAATTGCAGAGAGACGGAACAGATTAACAGTTTTTTGCCTGGATGTCCAGGTGCTTTGGAGTTGTGATATGTACTTAATAATTTAGTACGGAGATGAATAGGTACAAAACAACGGCCATTTGGTTTCTCTGGAGGAGCATTAATTTGTGCAGCCAGAATCTCCTCGCTGTGAGGTGAGGTTAGTACGGATGGTGGCCAGTATATGGTCCAGAGGAATCACAGGAGTAGGGGTTCTCTCTTCTCTAGATGGAGGAGAGAACTGTCGAGATAAGGCATCAGCCCGAATGTTTTTAGTACCGGGTAAATAAGAAACTACATAATTGAATTTTGATAGGAAGAGAGCCCATCTTGCTTGCCGGGGGGAAAGCCGCTTAGCTTCGGAAAGATATGTAAGATTCTTGTGGTCTGTGAGGATGAGAATTGGCACTGAAGTGCCCTCAAGAAGGTGCCTCCATTCTTTGAGAGCTAAAATTATAGCTAGAAGTTCTCTTTCACCAATCTGATAATTGCATTCCACCGGATTCAATACCCGCATGGATGCATGGAGTTCTCTGGGTTAGGATGTTGAGACAGGAGGGCGTCTACTCTTGTCTCAGAAGCATCGACTTCAAGAATGAATGGTAAGGCAGGGTTAGGGTGTGCCAGTATTGGAGCTGCAGCAAAGGTGACTTTGAGAGGATCAAAGGCAGTAATGGGCTCCTATGACCAATGTTGTGGATCAGCATCTTTCCTGGTCATATCCGTGAGAGGTTTAACCAAGAAAGAAAAGTTGCGTATGAACTTCCGATAATAATTGGTGAAGCCAAGAAAACGCTGTATAGAGCGAAGACCCATAGGTCAAGGCCAATGTAGTACAGCAGAAAGTTTATCGGGGTCCATAGAGAATCCAGCATCAGAAATAACATAGCCAAGAATGTGACCTGTTTGCAGTTCACATTTCTCCAATTTAGAGAGCAGATTATTTTCTCTGAGTCTCTGTAGAACACGAGAAATGTCTGCGTGATGGTTTTCAAGAGATGTGGAATGGATAAAAATATCGTCAAGATAAACCACCACACATTGCTGCAGCATATCTCGCAGGACATCATTTATAAATTCCTGGAAAACCGCCGGACCATTGCAAAGACCAAAGGCCATTACTAGGTATTCATAATACCTAGTAATTAAATGTGGTTTAATTACTGTTAAATGTGGTTTTACATTCGTGGTCCTCTTTTTTTTATCCTGACAAGATTATATGCCCCTCTCAGATCAAGACCGTTGCGCCCTTGAGGCGGTCGAATAACTCCGTGATCAACGGAATGGGGTATGCATTCTTAATAGTAATGTGATTAAGACCCCTATATTCAATACAGGGTCTTAACTCACCACTCTTCTTTTTTACAAAGAAAAAGCCGGCCCCGGCAGAAGAAGATGACTTCCGAATGAATCCTCTTGACAATGCATCGGTAACATACTCCTCCATGGCTCGATTCTCTGCTACAGACAGCGGGTAATTCCGGCCACGAGGAGGAATGGCATCAGGTTGGAGTTCGATACCACAGTCACAAGGATGGTGTGGCGGCAGAACACTGGCCTGACCCTTATCAAATACATCTTGGAATTCTTGGTATTCAGCGGCTAAGGAAGAGGCAGAAAATGTGCCCAAAACTTTGACTGGTTTCTGGAGACAAGATAATGTGCATTGCTGGGACCAAGATAATATCTCAGATTTGCGCCAATCAATTGTGGGATTATGCTTCTGTAGCCAAAGATATCCCAAAGCAACCGGCTAATATGGAGAGGAAATTACCTGGAATTGGATCATCTCATGATGGAGAGCCCCTACAGCCAAAGATATGGGCACAGTCTCCTGGGTCATGTGGGTTGGCTGTATTGGTCTGCCATCGATGGCTTCGAAAGCTAGTGGAGAGTTACGAGGCTGTAAGGGTATAGAGTGCTCTGATGCAAATGCAGAGTCTATAAACTAGCCTGCTGCCACAGAATCAAGCAATGCCTAGGTTTTGATGAATGAATCAGGCCAGGAGAGGATAATAGGCACCATGGGTTTGTCCTCATATATCTCTGGGTCTGCAGAAAGACCACCCAAGATCTCCCCCTGACAGTATCTTGGGAGTGGGCATTTTACCGGACGAATCGGGCAAGACTTTAACAGATGATCCTGGTGTCCGCAGTATAGGCAAAGGCCCTCCCTCCTCCTAAAGGGTCTCTTCTCGACAGAGAAGCATGAGAAGCCTAACCGCCTCGGCTCCACACCGCCAGAGGACTCAGGACCAGGAGGCATGGGAGGTGAGGGAGGCTTGGGTGGGCAAGATAAGCTCGGTGCCAAATGTACAGGAGGCCTCCGCAGGTGCTTCCTGAATGAGGATCTCTCTCGGAGTCTGATATCAATGATGACAAAGGATATCAGTTCCTCAAGATCTTTAGGTAATTCTCTAGCTGCAATCTCATCCTTAATAACATCGGAGAGCCCATGTGAAAAGGCAGCCACGAGAGTCTCATTGTTCCAGCCACCCTCTGCTGCCATGGTACGTAATTCACTGGCATACTCGACAATTGTTCTCGTGCCCTGTGCATTAGACATGAGTTGTTTGGCAGCAGAGGTGGAGCAAGCTGGAATATCAAAAACCCTCTTAAAGGACGCAACAGATTCAGGGTAATTGTAAATAATGGTCCTCTCTGCCTCCCAGAGAGGTTTTTTCAGACAGCAAAGAAATCATGAACTGGACTTTGCTACCGTCTGTAGGAAATGCCTGGGGAAGCATTTCAAGGTATCCTCTAACCTTGTTTACAAATTCTTTGCACTGAGCTGGGTTGCCCCCAAAATACTGAGGGAGCGGGACAAACCTAGTCATTCCTCTAGCCGCAACAGGTTTGGAGGCTACAACCGGTGTTCGAACAGGAAGTGAGGCAGAGGCGGCCACTATGGCAGGCTGGCCAAGTGCTGGATCCAGATGTGCATTACAAATCAGGAGGGTCTGGGGAGCCTGTGCACATTGAGTCCCACCGAGTAAATAGGTTAGGTATAGGTGTATTGCCTACCATCTGTATTCATTGCCCTTGCGTAATGTTAGGGACTAGGAACCAGACAGAGACAGAACAAGATGCAAAAACACCTTTATTAATAAATAGAAAATAAAGTAATAACCAAAAGCAAAGTCCAGGAGGCATGCCGGGGTCAAGCACCAAAGCGGGTAGTCAGACGAGCCAGGATCAGGAGAACGGAGTGCAGCGAAGTCAGGAACAAGGCCAGAGACAGGAACCAGGAACAAACAGGAACAAGGAGACTTCTGGGGAACAGGAAACCATGCAAGGGCAAGGAGGTACTGGGATTTTGCTGCTTAAATAGGCTGCCTGGTTAGCAGCAGGGCTGGTTACTACTATCAGGTGAGTAACCGTGGGAACATACTGAAGGAGCTGATTGTTAATCTCAGCTGAAAACTCAGACACTGAAAAAGGAAGGGTTGCTGTTTAAAACAGCAAAGAAACCCTGACACCTGGTTCGAGAACATTTGCCTCCAGGAAAAACACCCTAAGGGATTGATCTCTTCATTATATGACCACCTTAGCACAGAAGTCAGCGAATGGGGAGAGCTTAGATACACTGACCAGTGGGAAGCAGACCCGGAGGAAACATTGGAGGGCCCAGAGTGGCAGGACATATGGGAGACTAGAGCCTGATCATCCATATTGGTAACCCTCCACGAACAATCATTTAAAACGCTTTTTCGGTAGTACACCACGTCAGTAAAACAGTTCCATATGCAGCTTACCCCTACTGATCTCTGCTGGCATGCTTGCGGAGAGAAAGTTACATACGTACATATTAGGCATGTGGAAAATTTTTGGTTCGGTTCGGCATTCCGAAATTCGTGACTTGATGGGGGGACCTATTGTCCTCACCCCTGCGCCCCCACCCCTGAGCAGTGGGTGGGGGCCCTAAATACTAATAAGGGGGGAACCTAATGTCTTCCCCCCTGGCCCTCACCGCTGAGCGGTGGGTGGGGGCCCTAAATACTAATAAGGGGGGACCTAATATCCTCCCCCCCTGGCCCCCACCCCTGAGTGGCGGCCCTAATATTACACGCTGTGTAATTTGACTCATAACTCTCTGATTGGTTACTTAATCCACCAATCAGAGTGTTATGAGTCAAATTACACAGCGTGGGAAAATTATTAAGAACTTTCCCACGCTGTGTAAAATGACACAGAGCACTCTGATTGGTGGATTTCAAGCCAACCAATCAGAGTGTTGTGACAGGTAAATGTAGTGACTTACCTGTCAGTCTCTTCATTTACCTGTCAGAGCACTCTGGTGGGTTTAAGCCATCCAATCAATCAGAGTGCTCTGAGCCTAATTGCAGGGCTGGGCAAGGCTTTATAAGCCTCCCCCCGCCCTGCAGAGCTCAGTCTGCTCAAAGCCCTCCATGGGTGAAGATGGATAATTTTTTTGCGCTTTTTTTTTTTGTGCGTCGATTATTATGGATTTTTTATTTGGCCTTTTTTGAGGCTGAAAAAAAGATTTTAGAAGAAAGAAAACATCAAATGGTAAGTTTTTATTTTTTTCTAACAGGTACTTAGTTATTAGCGCCCCCTCATTATTTTTAGGGTGAGGGGGGAAGGTAGGGGTTAGTTTTTTTTTGGAAGGGGGGTAACTAGGGGTTTGGGGACCCCCCTTATTGGTATTTAGGGCCCCCACCCAATGCTAAGGGGTGGGGGGCCAGGGGGAAGGACATTAGGTCCACCCTTATTAGTATTTAGGGCCACCGCTCAGGGGTGGGGGCCAGGAGTGTTACAAACTGCTATTTGTAACTGGCCCTTTAAATGACCAATTGCCCTGCTTCCTTGTGTTATGGAGAAGCCTAATTGCCAGCCTTCTGCCCCATGACTATGGACCTAGTGTGTATGGCGATTTGACTGTATTTGTGGGATCTGAGCGCTGTTTGGATATATTGAGCGCTCAGATCCAAGCCATCTGGGGATAGGTTGAATGTGGGGGTTCTGTTCAGTTCAATAGGAGTTATGTATTTTTGTGTCTTTTTGTGTCTTTTGCTAACATGTGGTTAATGGAGTCTGCCTCTATCCCTGGATAATTGGATTACTTTCCCCATTGTCCAGGATAGAGGGCTCTGTAAAACCGGTTTGGGCCAGATAACCATGCTGCCAGCCAGGCCCCAAAAGATACTTTTGCTAACTTTTGAACCCCTTGTCTGATTTGTGCCATTTTTTAATATGTTGCTCCCCTGAATGGATTGATTCCAAATATGTAATTTGTATGAAGATTGGATGTATGGTTTTAAAGTTACGGGGTATGGGGAAAAACTGTTCTGTTTTAATTATGTTATGTGATTATCTGAGGGATGGGAATTTCCCCGAATGTATATTGTTCCGATTGGTTATACTGCTAATTATGTGGGTGTCTCCCTTGCATGGGCAGAATCTCATAAAAGCAGAGTGTGTGCCATTAAACATCAGAATGACTTGACCCTCTTACTTGCAGCCTTGACTCATGTTTGTAGGGGATAGCTATAATCACTACAGGGATTGCTATGCTCTTCATACTCCCTTAACTACTGAGCTCTTGTAAGAGCTCTTGTTCCTGATCCTGCTTCGCTCTACAGAAGGAAGGGATTCACCTACTGGAACCTGGAGTCTGGTCGTGGGTCCAGGGTTCGTGGAGTCTGCAGTACTTATGGTGGCTACGCAGTAGTTATGGTGTCAACGGTGCTGATGGTCCTTTGGTGAGCGCTAGGAGCATCCTTTCTACGGTCCAACTTTCAGCCAGCCTGGAGGCAACTGTAACAAGGAGGGAGGACATTAGGTCCCCCCCCTTATTAGTATTTAGGGCCCCCACCCACCGCTCAGGGGTGGGGGCCAGGGGGGAGGACTTTAGGTCCCCCTCTTTATTTTACTGTAGGGCCCCCACCCACCGCTCAGGGGTGGGAGCCAGGGGGGAGGACATTACGTCCCCCCTTATTAGTATTTAGGGCCCCCACCCCTGGGGGGGGAGGACGTAATTATACTAATTTAGGGCCCTCGGGAGGGGGGGACCTTTTTTTTTTTTTTTTTTACAGTGAGCAGCCTAAGGCGAGTAGACAG